CCTCCCCTGGATGAGTCAGTGGCCGCGCACCTCTGCCCGCCCACGGCTATCGGCTGGAGAGCAAAGGCCACTCATCCATCCAAGCCTTGTAGGACCACTTCAGCTCTCGCTGGACGCGCCTACACTTCAGCTGGACAGCCGGCTTTGGCGCTTCATTCAATGGCAGTCCTCCAGGTCTTTCAGGCAAAGATCCTCGCATCCTCAGATGAGTCTGGCCTGGACCCCGCAACCCTCAGGGAGCTGAGGAGCGCAACCGACCTGGCTCTGCGCACCACCAAGACCACCGCTCAGGCGAATGGGAGGTCGATGGCCAGCCTTGTGGTGCTCGAGCGCCATTTATGGCTGACGCTAACGGAGATCAAGGACGCGGAAAAGGTCCCCTTCCTTGACGCTCCGGTCTCCCCCAAGGGTCTCTTCGGACCGGCAGTCGAAGGATTCGCCGAGCGCTTCACAGAGGCACAGAATTCATCCCAAGCTATGCGACATTTCATGCCAAAGCGCACCTGCTCCGCTGCTACCTCTAGTCACCCTAAGTCTACGTTGACTCAGCAGCCCGCGAAACCAGCACCTGCCGCCCCCGCCGTTCAGCCTGCTAAGGCTCATCAGACGCGAGGGCGCTCCCGCTTGGCCAGACGCTACCCCCTTCCTAAGCGCCAGGGACCCCGACCCAAGATACCGTTGGACCCGGTGCCTCAGGCGTCTTCCTGATCTGCGGGACAGGAAGAGGATGGGGCCAAGTCTTGCTTCGACCAGACCGCCTCCCAAGCAGCCTCTCTTAGACCTCCTAGCACCCCGGTTCAACTGCCCCCATGCGGCCAGTCATTCGAGTTAATCCAACCCCTCGCCACGCGGTCCGAGGCCTGGCAGGCCATCCCTGAGTGTTGAGATGGATCATGGGGATAATAAAACGAGGATATTCACTCCAATTTGCTCGAAGACTCATGCGCTTCAGCGGCGAGGTCCCCACCTTAGTGCAAAGCAAGGAAGCTCACGTCCTGCGCTCAGAGGTCATGAATCTGCTGGAAAAAGGAGCTGTAGAAACGGTTCCTCCAGCTCAGAGCGAGTCGGGCTTCTACAGCCGTTACTTCCTCATCCCCAAAAAGTCACGCCCTCATGAAAAGGTCGTTCAGGATGACTACGCTGAAACAGATCCTTGTGCAAATTCGCTCAGGGGACTGGTTCTTTTCTCTGGACCTGAAGGATGCATACTTTCACATCCAGATAGCCCCCCTATATATATATATACTGTAGCTACCATGTATGTACATACACACATACATGTTTGTGCATATACATATATGCAAACATGCAAAAGATATCAGAAAAGAGACATGTAGAGCATGCGGGGATGTGTTATGTAGATGTCTCTACGTCCATAAGCGTGACTTGTACCTTGCAATCATCTAATAAGACTGAATTTTGAGCAGCATAGACGCACTGGTTGGAGTTGTTTTCATGATGGTTTTTGAGGTCATCATAGTAGGACTGGGTCTTGGTCATCATCTCTATATCATCAGACTTCCCATGTTGGGCGTCCAGAGCATCCATGAAAACAAAATGCCATCGAATCATTTCTGAAGACAGTCAGAACCTTCAGAGGTACATTCATATAATTAATTCATTCATATATTCATTTGTATAATTCCCTTAGCACTCTTTTAAAACCTCCCAGCTTTTCCGCCCTGTTTTCACTCAAAATGAAACTACTCTGCATGTTGTGCGCACGTGAGACTGTTACTGAAAACTGTGCTTTATGCTGGACAGTATTTATTTATTGCGATTTGTTCAAATCGCGGTAATCTAATACGGTTTTAATGATAATTAAAATATGAAACAGTAATACTAACCGTGGGGAATTTTATCATGATTTATCATCAAACCGGTAATCGTTACATCCCTAGTCCAGAACAACGTAAAGTGAAAAGAACAGCCTACTGCTTAAAAAGGACAAAGATGTTCTGAATTTTGCCTAAAAAAAGTTACTGAACACCTAGGCCTCATTTCTCCAGTACACCTTAAAATGTAGTATAAGAGTCTTGCCTTTTTGAAATACAAGATATTTGGTACATCCATTTTGGAAGAACAGTTGTAAAATTAAACTAAAACTGAAACAGACCATCAAACTGTAGTTTGCATTGTTGCATTCAAAATATACATTATGTCATTATGGAAATGATTACTTGATTATGATTATTTACATGTGTTTTATTTGATTTGATTTTTTGTTAAATATAAGCAAACAGCAAAAAGCACAGATCATTATGGCACTGTCAGCACCATATCTAGTATCTAAGTCAAATGTTCCGGTCACGAATATAACCATGGTTACCTAAATTAGGGGACGAGACGCTGTGGTAGTAACTCGCATTTAAAGAACTCCACCCAGGAGTGACTACGTCTAACGCCGTACAGAATCACAACAGTTAACTGACAGATGCTGCTTTAAGCTCCTCTCCACAGCCCAGAGCCGTTTTAAGTAGAATAAGCCTGGGTAATCACAAGACAGGGCAACTCTTGTAACTTATAAGACACTGGATCACTGAAACTAGCCCAAGAGACATTCTTAACTTAGAGATAGTCAGACCATTGACACGGCCCATTGAGGGGCCACAAGTCCAACCTCCACTTCTCCAGGAGAAGGTACCAGATTGTCCCTTAACCTTCAAGAGAAGTGGGATTTCCCACAGAATCCATGTTGTGCTGTTTGCAACCAAGAAGAAAGTAGTCTCCAATTAAACACATACAACCGTCTAGAAGAGAAGGCTCTTGCATTTAAAATGTTCTCCGAAATCTCAGACGAAATACCACATTTAATCAAAGCACTTAGTTTAGAGGCCCAACCCAGAGTTTCCACATCTCCAGACAGGAGTGCCACATGCTGCCCAAAACACAAGAAAGCTGATCTGCTCTGATCCGAATCTCCCAAAGAGGAGATTAGACCCAAGAACAATATACGGATCAGCCAAAAATGGAACCAGCAACAGAAGATGCACTGCACACTCCAATCATCACTGTCGGAAGCATGCGTATCAGCAGGAAAACATACACAAAGGTGATTATGGAGACAAACCAAAGGGGGCAACAGGAAGCAAACACATCCACCTCTGCCCTGTCAAACATTTTACCAAATAAGATTCACAGTCTGAGGGTGCAAACTCCATTCTTCTTGAATGAATTTGATGCTATCCTGTGCCTTATGTCCTGCTCCCAGATTACCGCTTTGCCAGGTAATCATTCATTTTCCTCAATTTAATGCAAATGGCCTCCATTTATTTTATTCAGTTACCACTTAAACGCAATCACAAATAACTGCATCTTGTGTTTGTGATAAAGTGACAGACAAGGCTATTTTTGTGATATTTAAGAACATTAAGTCTACATAAGTTGAATCTGCAGCTTGTTACTTTATTTATTGACTAATGTTCACATCCCATACTTGTTTCCTGTGAGTAATGGCCATAACTCAGAGATGGCCACCTTCATGCAGAGTTTAGAGTTCACATGTCCAACACACCTGCCTGGAAGTTTTCAGTGATCTCAAAAACCTTAATTAGCTGCTTCAGGTGTTTAATTAGGGCTGGAGACGAACTCAGCTGAAAAGACTGGACACCCCTGTCATTGCACTTCTATTTACAAGGGTTAATTGTAGAAAATATATTGATATTGAAGTGTTAAATAGATTAAATGAATATATTCTAAAGATACTAAAATCATAGTTAGAATGTTTTTGTGGGGAGCAGTTTAAAAGTGAATCATATTGTGTTTAACATGAACATTTCTGAATGTGACTGTATGTATGACCACTGAATTTACTTGCTTTTACGTGACTTCATGCTTTCTTTTTCAGATTTAAAAAAACATAAAGGAAAAGAGGCAGCAGTCTGATGTAAGCTAGCTTTTTAAAACTTGAAAAGTCTGACAACAGACTCCTGAAACTAATTATTTTAAAGGTTGTAGTAAAGATACTAAAATCATAGTTAGAATGTTTTTGTGGGGAGCAGTTTAAAAGTGAATCATATTGTGTTTAACATGAACATTTCTGAATGTGACTGTATGTATGACCACTGAATTTACTTGCTTTTACGTGACTTCATGCTTTCTTTTTCAGATTTCAAAAAACATAAAGGAAAAGAGGCAGTAGTCTGATGTAAGCTAGCTTTTTAAAACTTGAAAAGTCTGACAACAGACTCCTGAAACTAATTCTTTTAAAGGTTGTAGTGCTTTTGTCATTTTGTCTTTTTTTTTTGTCATTGATTATGTAAAATAAATAAATAACAAAATAAATAAACAAATAGAAAATATGGTAAGTTCAATATTAATATTGTTCAATTCAGTATTACTACATTTCAATATTGATTCAACAACAATGATTTAGAATCAACATCACCGTGTAAGATTGATACAATGACATTGCTTTTTTTGGGGTGGAAAATTAAACATTGTTTCAACATTAATTGAGGTGTTAAGTTGAAGTTAAGTTGCAACATCACTTCAAAACATTCAAAGCAAATAAAGCACGGGCAGATAAAACTCTGAAAACGAGTTGTGATGGCACAAGCATGTCCTTTTGAGGCATCAGTGAACTGACATGGGCTTCAGACAATCATCGCACCTGGAGGGAGAGCCCATAGCTTCAGACCCTATGAAAGGAAACTTTAGGCATCCCACATAAACTTCTGATGATACATTTCCAACTGATATAAGCATGTAGATAAGTTATACACCTATTTAATGTGTCAGCAGTCAAATGTGTATTGTTTTGATAGTGGGCTAGATTTTATTAACTTATTTATTGCTTTATTAAAAAAGAAGAAGCAATAATTGGTGCTATGCCACTGCTGCGGATAGGAACTAATATAGTTGATTATAATTACTTACAAAAAACCAGGAAAATATGCTTAATATATGATTTATGCTCAGCTCCACCTATCTGTAACATTTAGTTGGTGCACAGGACATTAATTAATTAGGTGGATGTTAGTTCATATTATATATTTTTGAAAAGTAGCCCCTTCTGTCTTACCTGACAGTGACGATTTGACCTGGATCTAAATAAATTCCGTTCATCTGGGCAATAAAAATGGCAGCCACAGCCTCATAGAGGGCTGTTCCATCCATGTTAATTGTTGCTCCAACAGGAAGCACAAAACGTGTAACTCTCTTGTCAATACCAAGGTTTTCCTCAAGACACCGGAACGTTACGGGCAGAGTGCCAGCGCTAGAAGAAGAAGAAGAGGAAAACAATTCTTACTCGGATAATAAATTATGCTTGCGGTTATGTTGCAATAATTAGCAATTTGTGACGTTTTGGAGCTAGCCTGAGAGCCAAGTTTTTTGTAAATATACTTATTCATAATAGTAATTTATAAACTTTAAAGGGGTCATGAACTGAGAAACCAAAATTCCCTTGATCTTTTGACATACAGTATAAGAGGTCATTGTAATATAAAAACATCCTGTAAATTTCAGAACTCAAAACTTTCTCGTTAATTTAAAAACAGCTTATATTGAATGCAGTCTGCCTAAACGACAGTTTGTGGAATCTTCAACTCTATGATGTAAAACTGTGCTGCATCTGCAGAAGAAGATCAACGCCTGCTTCTACATCACTGCCTGTCAAGCCCCGCCCACCGATTCGCGCACAACTGTTAGCCAATCACAGCAGTGGGCGTTTACTTCTGAGTGTACAACCCTCCACGCCTATTCAAACAGAGCGTTCTGATGAAGGGGGTCAAAACAGCACAGAAAATAGCCTATTACTTCTAAATGATGATGTTTCTGATGTAAAAATCTTGATAACATTATAAGTGGACCTCAGAGTACAGTACTAAATAAAAAAACAAAGGCAGTTCATGACCTCTTTAGCATTTGTGTGCTCATTAACCATGTATTCAAGCACGCACACACATGCAATGATAAATAGTGCTAGATGATATTTGCCAATACAATTAACAGTATAATTGTTTTTCTGAAGAAAAAAAAAAAGATACTTAAAGAATGTTTCAGCTGTTTTTGTCCATACAATGAAAGTCAAAGGGATTCAAAAGTTTTAGGTTCCATAAAGGAAATAAAAGTGGCATAAAATAAATCCAAATCTTCTGAAGCAACCTCTTCATGTGATGAACACTCCTTATTCAGTATAAATCAAATATGGTGACAGGTCAGTAACACCAAACCAGACTGTTTCTTATATGTCATGATGTCATGACACAAGAACCAATGAGATGTGATGTTACCGATGTATCTGATTTGGGCTGGAGTTGTGCGAATTAGTTTTATGCTACCGTAAGATACCTAAATATAAACTATATAGCAATTACTTCATTGTTTATATTGACACCATAAGTAAACTATCCTATTGCCCAGCATTAAACTGCTAAATGTAGACAGTATTCCAAACAGTTGCTTTGAATGTGTATTGTGAGATGCGTTAGACAAATTAAAAAAAATCCTTCAGGCCATGTAATATTACATTTTAATAACATTTTCAAATGTATGGCTACATAGAATGAGGCAGCCACAGCCTCATAGAGGGCTGTTCCATCCATGTTAATTGTTGCTCCAACAGGAAGCACAAAACGTGTAACTCTCTTGTCAATACCAAGGTTTTCCTCAAGACACCGGAACGTTACGGGCAGAGTGCCAGCGCTAGAAGAAGAAGAAGAGGAAAACAATTCTTACTCGGATAATAAATTATGCTTGCGGTTATGTTGCAATAATTAGCAATTTGTGACGTTTTGGAGCTAGCCTGAGAGCCAAGTTTTTTGTAAATATACTTATTCATAATAGTAATTTATAAACTTTAAAGGGGTCATGAACTGAGAAACCAAAATTCCCTTGATCTTTTGACATACAGTATAAGAGGTCATTGTAATATAAAAACATCCTGTAAATTTCAGAACTCAAAACTTTCTCGTTAATTTAAAAACAGCTTATATTGAATGCAGTCTGCCTAAACGACAGTTTGTGGAATCTTCAACTCTATGATGTAAAACTGTGCTGCATCTGCAGAAGAAGATCAACGCCTGCTTCTACATCACTGCCTGTCAAGCCCCGCCCACCGATTCGCGCACAACTGTTAGCCAATCACAGCAGTGGGCGTTTACTTCTGAGTGTACAACCCTCCACGCCTATTCAAACAGAGCGTTCTGATGAAGGGGGTCAAAACAGCACAGAAAATAGCCTATTACTTCTAAATGATGATGTTTCTGATGTAAAAATCTTGATAACATTATAAGTGGACCTCAGAGTACAGTACTAAATAAAAAAACAAAGGCAGTTCATGACCTCTTTAGCATTTGTGTGCTCATTAACCATGTATTCAAGCACGCACACACATGCAATGATAAATAGTGCTAGATGATATTTGCCAATACAATTAACAGTATAATTGTTTTTCTGAAGAAAAAAAAAAAGATACTTAAAGAATGTTTCAGCTGTTTTTGTCCATACAATGAAAGTCAAAGGGATTCAAAAGTTTTAGGTTCCATAAAGGAAATAAAAGTGGCATAAAATAAATCCAAATCTTCTGAAGCAACCTCTTCATGTGATGAACACTCCTTATTCAGTATAAATCAAATATGGTGACAGGTCAGTAACACCAAACCAGACTGTTTCTTATATGTCATGATGTCATGACACAAGAACCAATGAGATGTGATGTTACCGATGTATCTGATTTGGGCTGGAGTTGTGCGAATTAGTTTTATGCTACCGTAAGATACCTAAATATAAACTATATAGCAATTACTTCATTGTTTATATTGACACCATAAGTAAACTATCCTATTGCCCAGCATTAAACTGCTAAATGTAGACAGTTAGTATTCCAAACAGTTGCTTTGAATGTGTATTGTGAGATGCGTTAGACAAATTTAAAAAAATCCTTCAGGCCATGTATTATTACATTTTAATAACATTTTCAAATGTATGGCTACATAGAATGAATATATCATTCATGCAAAGAACATGTAGTGTCATTTCATACCTAGAGGCTGTGCCCAGAGCCGTGATCCAGGCCTGGAAGATGCCCATGAAGAACGAGAAGGGGTTTTTCCGTACAATTGCAAAGTAGATGCATGGCAGGAATATGGCACCATGGATGATCAGACCAATAATAACCGTCACCATGTACATCCCCAGCTGCCTGCCCACCACCTCCAGATCTTTGATAGAGATGATCTTTCCACAGATCAAGCAGGCGATGCCAAAGGGAGAGTACCTACAGAGTCAGTCCATAATGTGAGTCCATCGGTATAAAACGTATCATTACTGGACTTCGTAATCAGCTAGAGGACATAAAAAGCACAACTGACCACATGATCATGATAACCAGCTTCATCACAATCTCATTGAGTATGTTAAAGAAGTCAATCATGAGCCTAGCTTTCTCTCCCATCTTGCCCATGCAAATACCAAAGGCAATGAAGAATCCAATTATACCTGGAACGTAACGAAAGACAAAGATATCAATCAATATTTCAACGAAAAGTGAAGGAATTATCTATAGATATCTGAGAGTATGGCCGCCCTACCCAGCACGTTCATGCCGCTCTTGAATTGGAGAGATTTCTTGTCTATGAAAATAGGGGGTGGTTTGGTGGCATTGGACAGATAGTCAGTGCTGTTGGTGTCATCGAAATCAGGCTGAACTTCTACCTTCTTCACGACGGTCTGGATCTGTACATTTCAACATCACCTCAATCAATTACACCAATTTATTCTTCCACTCCCACTTTATATCAGATGTCTTTAGCTGCAATGCACGTTATTAATTTAAACATTTAATACATCTATAATTACATGCAGGTACTTTAAATGTAAACAACTAAATAATTATGTAATTATTTCTACTATTAATGACACCCTAACCTAAATTGTATCATACATAAAATTTCACACTGAATCACCAAGAGATTGTGGAAACAACATGAAGATAATATTTTGAATATTTCATATGGCATAAAATGAGCAATTACATACTATAGCCATTCAACATAACAGTATAATTGTAAGCTAGGCCTAAATTGATTGATTGATTGATTGATTGATTGATTGATTGATTTCACATTAAAAATATTACCACAACTTTTAAAGTGAGTAAATAAATAAAAAAATCCACATAAACCCATTATAATGTCACATTTAGCGGTGTTTTTCTTTTTTGGTATAGTGTGTTTGGTGATGTTTCTGCTCCTGATTCAGTAATACTACATTTCTCCAAATCTGTTCTGATGAAGAAACAAACTCATCTACATCTTTAATGGCCCGAGGGTGAGCACATTTTCAGCAAATCCACATTTTGGGTGAACTATTCCTTTAATGACCATACACTATCATGCGAACCAAAAGCACAGCTATCATAATTATTTGTAACATGTTAAACGGCAAAAATGTGTTCATTTTAAGAACAACAGAAATTAGTATGTATTACACAATATGCATACTGTATCAAATTTGTAGTTCAAATCTCCTGATATAAAGCGAGTCTGAACGTTCCCTGTGGAACTCTTACCTGCTGGAAGCAAGCCTGAACCAAGTTCTCAGGGAAGAGGTTTCTGATAAGGTCAAAAAAGGCATCAAGACTGGAAACCTCATCATTCACAGCTCCTTCTCCTAGATTCTCCTTGAGTTTTGGGTTTCCGGGGTGGATGATGAGCACCAGGATGACCCCCAGCACAGCAGCAATGATAGTAGTGGTCATGTAATAAATCATGGCTCTGGTACCCAGACGACCACTTGACTTTGCATCCAGACCAGCGAGACCTTAGTTAGGGAGACGTGGCATATTATTTTACACAATCATTCTGTCATATTCACAACTCAAACATTTTTTTCCAGTGCCTTTATGTATTTTAATATACAGTTTTTTTCCACTCTAGCTCAAGTCAGATAGATAGATATACAGTTAGGTCCATATACATATATATCTGGACACTGACACAATTTTTATAATTTCGGCTCTGTAAGCCACCAGAACAGAATTAAAAATAAAACAATCAAGATGAAATTTAAGTGCAGACTTTAAGCTTTTATTCAAGGGGCTGAACAAAAATATAACATAAAATGCTTAGGAATTACAACCATTACAACCGCATTTTCAGGGACAAATAAATATAATCAGAAATAAAATCTTCATTTTTAATATTGTGTTGAGAATCCTTTGCAGGCAATGACTGCCTTAAGTCTGGAGCTCATGGACATCAGCAGAAACTGGGTTTCTTCTCTGTGATGCTTTGCCAGGTCTTTACTGCAGCTGACTTCAGTTGTTGTGTGTTTGTGGCTCTTTCTGCTTTAGTTTTGTCTTCAGCGAGTGAAATGCAGCTCAATCGGGCTGAGATCAGGAGATTGACTCGGCCACTGCAGAATATTCCACTGTTTTACCTTCAGAAACTCCTGGGTTGCTTTTGCTGTATGCTTTGGGTCATTGTTCATTTGTTCTATAAAGCGCCGCTCAATCAGCTTTGCTGCGTTTGACTGAATCTGGGCAGAGAGTATATCTCTATACACTTCAGAGTTCATCCAGCTGCTTCTGTCTTCTGTCTCATCATCACTAAACACCAGTAACCCAGAGCCACTGAAGCCATGCACGCTCATGCATCACACTGCTCCATGCTTCACAGATGATGTGTGTGCTTTGATCATGAGCTGCTCCAAGCCTTCTCCAGACTTTTTTCTTCTCGTCATTCTGGTACAGCTTGATCTTAATTTCAGCCGTCCAAAGAATGCTTTTCCAGGAGTGCTCTGGCTTTTTTAGATGTTGTTGGCAAAAATCTAATCTGGCCTTGTTTGCAGCTTGTGGTGAAGCCTCTGTATTTGCTCTGGTGAAGTCTTCTCTTGATTGTAGACTTTGACAGAGAC